ATTAGGAAATAGATAATAGTTTACTCACACAAATGGAACTATTCGGATTAAATCAGGAAGTGATGGTAAGCCGGTAAAACATAATCGTGCGATTCCCGTGGGAATAGGGATGCACCTGCACCGGAAACTTCAGCAACGTTCCAACATTCTATTCCCAGGAAACCACATCATACCAATAACTCCAGGTCGCAGTGGTTTTATGAGAAAATAAAATTTTTCCTTTTAGCGAATTTCCCTATAGGGAAGTAGCTATTACCGTAGGTGGCACGGTAAGACCTAGACCCGGGACCGATTAACTTTTTCATTTTGATGTCCCCAGAGGCCAAAAACACTATTAGTTCAAATTTTTATATATGTATATAAATATATATAGACTTATATATATATATATACGTCCGTGAACGCGATAACTTGAGTAATTTTTGTCCGATTTTGATTAAATTTGGTTTAAAGGTGTAAAGCGGGATAAACTTGAATGAGTTCGCGAACCAGCACGATCGGACCATGGAAACGGGGCTTTACAGGGGGTTTTATGGGGTAAAAATTGGTTTTTCTCACTTTTGACCCTCAAAACACAAAATTTCCCAATTTCTCTTTAGACCTTTTTAAAGAGCTTAAAAAAAACAAATAATTTAGTACATAAAAGTATTTTTGTTCGATTATTAATAACGGAGAAAATTAAAAAAATTGTAAATTTAAAATTCCCATGTTATTCTTATGGAGAATATTGTCAAATGTTGTAGTTTGCTTGTTTATGAATATATTTTGAAGAAATTTGGCAAATTTATTTATTTTGTACTAAGCTATCAATATATTACACAAAAACACACTTTATTAGTTTCCTTGTAGCAGCAAACCTAGGTACTCGTGAAACCTAATATTATTAAAATATATTTAACTGAAAATCAATTCAGACAAATGGAAATTCGCTTAGTCGGCAGGTTTGCTGCGGCGGGGGTATATAGTTTTTCAACTGTTATGCCACATCATTGAGGCTGATCGGGAAGTCGGTAATGCAAATTTAACTCTGGTAAAGAGTTTAAAACATTCCGTCAGGAATGTTGGGGAGAAATGATAGAGTACACAATGAGTCGGAAAGGGAAAGACGGAAAAGCTATTTTAAAGCGAGCCATGGTCCTTGCATTTCCAAAGATCAAGTGTTTAGTGCGTAGTACGTAGTGCGTACTGCGTAGTGCGTACTGCGTCATAGCGTAGTGACAAGACAAGTGCGCTGCGTAGTGGGGGCTGAGTAGTGCGCAGTGCGTAGTGCGTACTGCGTCATAGCGTAGTGACAAGACAAGTGCGCTGCGTAGTGGGGGCTGAGTAGTGCGCAGTGCGTAGTGCGTACTGCGTCATAGCGTAGTGACAAGACAAGTGCGCTGCGTAGTGGGGGCTGAGTAGTGCGCAGTGCGTAGTGCGTAGTGCGTACTGCGTCATAGCGTTGTAACAAGATAAGTGCGCTGCGTAGTGGGAGCTGAGTAGTGCGCAGTGCGTAGTGCGTACTGCGTCATAGCGTAGTGACAAAACAAGTGCGCTGCGTAGTGGGGGCTGAGTAGTGCGCAGTGCGTAGTGCGTACTGCGTCATAGCGTAGTGACAAGACAAGTGCGCTGCGTAGTGGGGGCTGAGTAGTGCGCAGTGCGTAGTGCGTAGTGCGTACTGCGTCATAGCGTTGTAACAAGATAAGTGCGCTGCGTAGTGGGGGCTGAGTAGTGCGCAGTGCGTAGTGCGTACTGCGTCATAGCGTTGTAACAAGACAAGTGCGCTGCGTAGTGGGGGCTGAGTAGTGCGCAGTGCGTAGTGCGTACTACGTCATAGCGTTGTAACAAGACAAGTGCGCTGCGTAGTGGGGGCTGAGTAGTGCGCAGTGCGTAGTGCGTACTACGTCATAGCGTTGTAACAAGACAAGTGCGCTGCGTAGTGGGGGCGGGGGTGATCACCTCTCGCTAAACTACCCCTTGATCACTTGATCACTTGATCTTTGGGTAAAGCGCAAACCCAGAATATACCCACAGAAATCACACATAGAGATTATAACAATAGTTATGATAACTGTCAATTAAGTCATGCTATTGTAAATAACTTCTTTTACTCAACATACACTATTTAATTGAGAATAAAGAACCGAATGGAAAACCATATTCAAAATAGTAGGGGATACTATACGGAGAAGCAGCACTAGGGTTCAGTTCCACATGTATTAGGAAAACAAAACATTTCCTTGCCGAAAATGTAGTTCCCAGACGATCACACATTTCCACCAGAAATAGAAAATAAATTACTAGACCTACTTATTTTCACATGCTTCAAATCTATAACAAAAAATCATCTTCTGCAGGTGCAAAATTTCACTGTCCTGTGGAACTGAAAGATAATTGGCTTGATTTAGCTTGAGAAGAAAGGTTGAAACTGTTTTGCAAAACTTCGTTAGCTATAATTATATAAACATTTTTTTAAAGAGAAGCTTGTAAAATATAGACCTAACTCTTTAGTTTTATCATAGTGTAGTTTTATTACACTATGACATCATTCAATGTTGTATAGGTACTATGAATAAAGATATTTTAAATTCATTACTGTCACAAAAATTTCATTAGTCATTGAAGTTTGGATTCAGTGACTCACGCCTCAAATTGTATGCAATACCTCAATGATGTTATCTTGATCCATTGCTTATAAGAACCTGTAGGTCGTGTTCTAAGCTTACTACCATGAATAATTTGCTTTTATAGAACAACGCCAATTTACGCCAGTACACCACAGACAGTGGACTACACCTTAACCTCAACCTCCTGCAAAAGAAAATGTGAAAAATGTTCAACTCTGGAGACAATCACAGCAGTTAGACGACCTGTAGCGAACGTCAATGTGTGCGACACCCACTGACTATAAGCTATAATAATAACTGAAACTGACACCTAGCCAGGGTTGCCACTTTTAGGTACCTTTTTTGGGTTATTTACTAGTCTTAGGGTAACGATTAGGGTAATGGTATATTTAGGGTAATTTTAGGGTAAAACTAAAAGTTAGCATAACAATAGAAATTTAACTAGAAACATGAAAAACTTCAAATTTTGGGGAAAAACATACATTACATATCATGGCAAACCCGTGATATGCGACTCAACCGGTTTAAATCGATTGCTATGATTTTCATAATCATTGATCTTATCGGTACCAATACTGTATTTGTGAATTATCTGTTTTAGATTGTATTGTGTTCGATTCCATAACACGTTATAATAAAATAAAATATTCATTACTTCTTTCTTGTTATTTATTTAATTATGTGATTGAGTTCCGATTGTGTCTAAAAATTACTGTATGTATAGATTAACGCCTTAATAGTTCCGTACTGTATCATGAAGTGATTATTGTAAAAAAAGTAGTAATGGGTTAATACAATTAAAAGTACAATAATTAATAATTCTTGGTTTGATATTTTTCATATACATAGAGCTGAATATGAACATTTTGTACTTTTTTCGTGTTGTTTTTGAGAATCGAGTATATTTGTACATATATTGATTGATATTGAAACCTTATTAAGTATAATTAACAACCTTTTTGAAGATTTGTATTATTTTAACGAGGTTATATAGCATTTAACACAATAATTTACATTGAGGGTAATTTTTAGGGTAGCTCAAAGTAGATTTTGGGCAATTTTGGTCCGCCTTAAGGGTAAAAACGCCACAACGAGGTGGCAACGAGAATTGAGACTATTGAGAGTTATAAGCCAATCATCGGTCTCAGGTAAGAGACACGACTCTCGGCTTTTCAAATATTAGAATTTCAGTACCGCCATGGGACAAAAGAAATGCGATTAAAAACTTAACGTATGTCTCGTTTCTTGCATAGAATAACCCATTTGAACTCTTTAAAACTACACATTCACTGAACTTGATTTTAGATGTTTTTTCACACAACTGAAATGACTAGTTCAAAACTATACATGGTAAAATAATAAGTAATTGCAAAAAAAGGATAGTAAGTACAAAATTTGTCATTTCACACGACTTATTAATGAAAACATTAAATATGTTTGAATAAAATAATTTCTGTCGCAGACCTATGTTAGGCGTAAAAACGTGATACTTTTTCGGTTAGCTGAGTGGTGGCAATACATTTTAATAAAAAGGTCACAAACAAATTTAATTAATTGCAATTCATGGGTGTCTTCCCCAAAAGAAATATTCACGACGTGCCCCTCAAAAATAGTGCCCACAAAATGGGAACACGCGGCTACAAATAAACTTTTTGTGTTAAAGTTTCCTTTATGTTGAAGCTGACAAGTTAATACATTGTAAACGTACTTAACTACCTTAAAAAACATCTTCGTGTGCCCTAATGAGCTTACCTTTAGTTACATAATCAGACAGTTGAGATAATAACTCAAATTGTCTCTTTCTTTTCCTTTTTTAGTAGGGATTTATTGCACAAGATGTGAATAGAACATTATACCATTGACTTTATAAAGTCAATGAACCGACATACCATCATAACCCATAGTGTTGACTGACCTCTGAGAAAATAAGCCCGGGCAAATTTATTTCATTGTGCATGTTTTACAATTAACACTATCAACAACATGAAAACAAAAACATTTGCAATTCGTTCGTAGGCTAGTTGAACAACATCGTTGAACAACTACTCTATTGTCTGTGTACAAAGTCACTCGACTTCAAGTAAAAACGCGTTTCCAGCATACTAACACTGGTTTAAATTGAAAAAAACGTGATTTTTTGTATCTATCTTGGGTTTATTTGTTTGGGTAAGGTTCAGTTTTTTATTGCCCCATATAGAATTAATAATATAGATAAATAAATTAAACGAAGCGGTAATTAGACGAACTGTTGCGAACGTCAAAGCGAAATCGCACCTAGTGGCGATGGCTAGTACTAGCAAGGAGGGATTGGGATTGGGATGGGATTGGATTGGACTCGAGACTCGATGGGAGTGGAGTGGGACTGGGAGTGGGAGGCAGACTAGACTAGCAGACAGCAGACATAACATAACCTCTAACCTCGTTTTTTTAAATCAACCAGTGTCAAGTTAAGTCTCGTTCTTTTCTTTTCAAACATAGTTTCTATAAAATAATAATTTTTGGTAACTCCTTACTTCCGTGATAAAATATCTTTCTACTGTTCCCGTCTTTATTGAAAAATGAACCCGGTATTTGGAATACACGTGGGGAATTCTGGTGCATGCTTGGCTATGTGCAAGGTAAGTTGTTTCTTACCTTGATAGCCTAGCCTACCTAACACCTCCCGTGACATTGATGACCAAAATATCTAAATAGACTAGGCCTAGTTCAAAAATAAAGATACACTATTTGCAACAAGTTATTTGGGCAAGATAGTGTTTAGCCTATTATGGACCCAAGGCATCAAAGTAGGCTAGGCCTAACTTCATTGAATGAATACAGTGGCCAATCGAGAAGCCAGGCTTAAAGAGATTTTTGGAAAACAGAGGGTTTAAGGTCGATTCACACACATCAGTTACAGCACGTCACAGCAAAGTCACTTCAGGCACGTCACAGTTAACAAAAATATTCTTTGATGGATTTTCTATTGCGCTATCTACACTCATCCGTTGCAGTCCCGTCAGTCTCTCTGCCGGCATCCGTCAGTCAATTTCAGATTTCTTTTCACCGATATTTTTTGATTGTTTGGACGCCTGACGGAACTGTTTGAGGTTAGAAAATAGTGTTATTGTTATTTATATGGTTGCGTTTGTATTTTGAGTACTGTTTGTAACAATCAACAAGATAGACAATGATAATTTAATAGAATATAGGTTTACAATTTAAATTTTTTGACTGTAAATTACTGTAAATATTAGAGACGGAAGACTGACTGAAACCAACTGAGGGACAATTGACTGAGAAATTGCGGATGCAACTGTGACTGGACTGCAACTGGACTGTAACGGAACTGTGACAGGACTGATGTGTGTGAATCGACCTTAACACGTCTTAAAAATTTGAGTTTTAGTGTCACACATTGTAGCATTTCCTCAAAGAGGGAGTTCATAGGAGACGTGTAGACCTTACAGACACTGTCCTCATGGCCACTTCAGGTAATCTTAGGGCCGATGACGAATCCCAGCAACCCCATTTTAGTCAAGATGTATAAAAACATTAAGATCAGTCAGTAAGATAAAATAATTAATAAAGAGTACTATTCCCTGGGATAACATGCTATTTGGAGAACCCTTTAGTGTAGTTAAAAATTCATTGATATCCTAATTGAGTTTATTTTAATTACTTTAACTAACTTACCATATTATTTAATTAAAAAATCATCACTATGACGAAACACCTGTTCTTATGTATGAATATACTTTAAAAAGAAAGTTTTGTGTAAATAAAATAAGTCTATGTCTATGACATTTAAGGCTTTACACGGCTGAGACTACACAGGCTCTACTCGGTTGTTAATTTGTTGCCAAAGCTATATTTTTAATTTGGTTGTTAAAGTTATAAGGTAGGCCTATGACAGTTTCTTAAATATGAGAAGCCTAAAAAATACAAATAAGGGTCCATACACCATTAGGTCTTCAATTGTATAACCTACCCACCGGCCACAACATGAGGGTTTGAATATAACAATCCAAAAGCTACTTATAGTAAATGTAGGCACACTAACTATCAGACTTTCGGCTAGGTGTATAACATATCTCATTGTGCTAGTTTACCAGGATGTCAAAAATCGACTTCTAAGATTGTTTATGAATGGAAGGTCTTAACATAAATAGCCTACTTAAATTTTTTTCCTCAACATTCTTAGGCTTTATCAATAAAAATTCACAAGACCCGTAAATTGTGTGTTTTCAAAAGTAACTTAAGCGAAATAACTTAGTATCATTTCAAGGCCTGCGGTTTGTAGAGGCATACTTGCAATAGCCGAGTTAGCTTTAAAAAATAGGATAAATCACCCTTGCATAATATATCAACATTCTCCCAACAGTTAATATCTTTTTGCCTGTTTGTGGGTCATATGCTGAATAATATTTAATTTTTTCAAAACAGTTCTGAAACCAAAACCAAGTCTAATGGCTTGTTAACACAAACAGACCAGTTCACTAAAGTGTTCTTTAAATAAATTTCCTCAAACTTCTTCCCCCGCCCTATTTGACCTTGGGCAACATATTTTATTCTAACCTGGTATGTTAGTAGCTTATATTGGCTATGCTCATTGCATCTACAACTATAAGGCGTGATCACAATAAAAATCACACAAATACCCAGTCCCAATTGGAATATCTTCTTCTTTAGCACAAAACTAATAATGGAAGTTTGTTAGACTATAGCCTTCTTTATTTAATTTTTTTACAGAAAGATGACTCCAAGTTCCAAATTGAAGTTATAGCAAACCATGCTGGGGAAAGAGTTACACCTGCTATCGTTACGGTCACTGAAAATGAAAATGTAAGTAAACTTTCCAGTTGTTTGTAAAACTGATAATATTATATTAGTTTGTTGGTTGTCAACAATAGTTGTAAGGTCCGCCAAGATAATGCATGGGAAACTCCATCATACTGAAAGTTTTTTTTCTAAAGCTTGAAATACTCTTTTTTTAGTTCATTGCAAATCAGCGAGTGCTTTTAGTATTTAAAATTTATAGAGGAAAACCTTCTTTCTTCTGCTTGTAAAGCAGGACAATCTTCATTGTATTAACCTATTGGCGCCGACTTACGAGCGTTACTCCTACGGCCGCTGCAGGCCCGGCGGCTGATTTGCGAGTGCCGCTCGTGTCACCACTACGCAGCGCCACTAATTATTTTATTATTATTTTTTCCCCTTTAGGTTTCTTCTTACTTTTACGATGTTTATAGGCCTAGGCTATCTGTAAATATCTTGCTTCTTGTTTTGCGGATTTACTCATTTATTTTTGGGAATAACAAACAAGGTTGTGTTGCCATGGAAACCCAAAACCCAGAATTAGCTGCTGTAAAGCTACTCATTAAAGTTACAGTCATGTTATTTTTAAATAGTAAATATGACACTTTAAAAGGCATGTTTAAGTGGAAAGCTGCTAAATTTATGGACATTGGAAATTCGCTTAGTCTATAGGTTTGCTTTGACGGGGATATCTTTTTTTTAGCTACATAGTTCTCCTGTTAGCCTGTCAATTATTGAGACAATTTTGTGCACGTTTGCTGTTATTCTGCCAGCTACCCATAAATGTGATACATTAATAATCACAAACAAAAAAAAAATGGAGAGTGATTTGGGCAGTTGATGACAAGTTAGAGACAAAGCTGAATTTGTCAGAGAATGTCCAGTTTTACCTAGCATTTTATTGAAGATTATTGAAAACCAGACAATGGATGATGCTGAATGTGGATTGTTATGCAGAGTTTACAGACTTGAGTCAGACGATTCCGTCTTACATTTGGTCTAAATTACCACTGCTATATTATAAATACAGTAGCCTACAGGCACTTTGTGTGCACAAAGAATTGTTTTGTAAAGTTAACTTCATCTAATCAGGCATGCACGGGGCTCGACACATGCCAGCTTATTAAATATTCTGGATTACAGGATGAATATCGGGAACAATGTGTACCAAACAAATATAATGTCATAAAATTGTGTATTTAATTCATAAAACAGCTTTACTAAAAATAAAACATTGCACACCACACTTAAATGAAAAACACATGTTTATGAAAGTAAAATGAGCACGTTAGGCTTAAAAAATGTTAATTACCTCGTGGAGCAAGATGGTTGGTCTAAGTCAATCGGACTGCTCTTCTTGACAGAGATGGCTTCTGTTCCTGTGATCATTAAACTTAATTAAGGTACTTATGACATCAACTGCTTATTGCTATGTGACATCGCTTGTTTTGTCTACATCATATTCCTCAGAGTTTACGTTGTTGGGCGCTGTTGCATTGAGAACACTCTGGATCTGGATGTTGGTCTCATCTGTCAGAGTTTCCTCTGTTGGTTATGGATATTGTTATGCTGCAGTTTCATGACGAAATGTTGTTAAAACCTTGAGAGATGATTGCAGAATGCATCTGCAAGGAAACACACGGGATTGAAAGATTCACGCTTTTGCCACGATTGCGGATGTTAAAGAGAACATTACCCCATGGGTGACGATGACGATGTCTCAGCGGCCGCGGGAGATGTTCAATAATTCTCTTTGATTACAGAAGTTAATAATGATGTCCACAAGACCGCGGGAGACGTTCAGGATTTCACTGGGATAGTGTAAGACAATATTAATGTTTCCATAATCGTGCGAAATATCAAAATTTTTACGCTTTCTCTCAGGAAGAAGTTGTTCCGTATCTTTTTCCGCAGATATTTAGGATGATGTTTCCGTGCTTGCGGGAGATATTAGGGATTTGGCCGCAATCGCGGGAGACGATGATGTTGTCTACACGACCGCAAATGATGTCCTTTGGTTTGGTTTCAATCTTGGTGGTCGATGATAATGTTTCTGTGACTGCGGGATGTATTCACGGGCTCTGAGGACGATTATAATATTTCCGTAACCTATGAAGATATTCAGGATTTTTCTTTGATCATTGAAGACGATGATGACTCTTCGGTGCCTCAGAGACGCTGTGCCAAGCCCAAGTGCAAGGTTAGGTGGAAATACTTGTGATAATTTTTTTAAAGATTATTGGGAGAGGGGGGCCCGTTGACCAAACTTGTGGAGGGCCTGTGGGTTTTTATCGTTGCATCACAAAGTCCAAGATCCACACAACACTAAAAGACAATAATTCAGCGTTGATACAGCAATCTAAGTAGCTCTGACATCTGAGCGTAGTACAGATAGCTTGGTTTTTGACGGAGGACAAAATGTAAAGAATCCATAATGGCACCAGGTAGACCGATCAATGTTCCCGAAATTATACAATATCTCGTGATGTCGGCCGAACACGAGCTGTCTCCGCTCCTTGAATGCCAATGCTTTGTACCCCCCTAAGCGTTTTCCCTCGTGATATACGATCCCAAATAAACTATTCATTTCTCTAAATTTTTTCTGAAAGTTGTGGAGGATTATTAAGTGTGCCCGATCGTTGGATGCCTAGTTTGTTTTTCTTTTATTGAAACCAAACCAGTAACTTTTCCTTCATTTTTTGTTTTGTAATTTTCTAATGTTCTTCAGTAGATATAAATAAATAGAGTTTGAATGTTAAAATAGAGTTATGAAAGTTGTGACGTAACATCATTGACAGCATTGAACACCTTCAGCAGGCCTATCTAGATTTTTTAGCTATAACATCTTGATAACTTGAACCTCGTTTAGTCAAACAATTTTATAACTTGAATATTTAACCATACCCTTTAGATTTGAAATATCAAGGTCTTACTGTATGTCTTAACATAAAATTTTCTAAATTCTTTAATCTAAAGTAAGCTAACTTACTATTAGTTGTTTTTAATGAGTTAGGACTGGATACCAAGATTTAAATTTTTATTCAAATATATTAGAACAACTTTTTTGATTGGTACAGGTTGTTGGAACAGCATGCAAATCATTAATGATCTCACGCTGGAATACCACTGTCGTGTGCAACAAACGCATGCTGGATACAAACACCCCTGAACTAGAAAATGGCCATCGGAGAGTGGCCACTGTGCTCCGAGAGGATGAACTTTGCTACGAATTACCTCTGGAAGATCGAACAGAATATATGACTCCAACAGATATTGCCAGATCAATTTTTCGTACCTTATATGGTAAGTTCTTCCATATTTTCAAATTGAATTAAAAATCAGCTTTATTTTCTGTTATATACTATTTCCACTATTTACATTCTTTGAAGGAAATATTTGAGGGTTACTATGTAAATTATTATTACATTAAAAGTATTCAAATACAGTAGTTTAAAATAGCATGAAGTTGCTTAAGACTATACATTTTCAGTTGTGATTACAGCATTATTTATTACAGGGTACGATACCCTGTAATAAATAATGCTGTAAATAATGCGGATCTGAAAAACATTATTAAACAATTTAGACGTCAAATTGAAGTGAAATTGTAGTTCACGCAACGATTGTGTTAAGTGAGTCTTTACGACATGAGTAGAAAATTTAAGGCACGAGCCTTGGCGAGTGCCTTAAAAACTTCTACGAGTGTCGTAAAGACTATTAACGCGAGTTGCGTACACTACTTTACCTACGACCGTTTTTTAATTACTATCAATCTGGATTTAATTACTAACAATCACTAATGATAACTTTTTAGAGAGGTTATGTTTTCGTGTATTGTCATTGCCACTGAAAGTGATGCAACGACTTGTTGTATAATCAGCTGATTTCCTGTAATTACGTGTTTGTTAAACTTCGTTAAATATTACATTGCTAGCAGCATTCTTACTATAAATAATATTGTATCATGTACAATTCGGCAAATATTTAATTTATTTTTGGACTTCCACCAACTTAATTAAGAATACGCGAGTATCAAAATGAACAAGTCGGATCAACAATTAAATTGGTCAACTGATCAGCTGATCAGCTGATTAGTTGACATTCGAAGCATTACAATTTTAATTCTTTTCTCTCAATACTTGAACCTCATTGGTCCGTTACCTGTGTGGATATGAGAAAACTATGCGGATATGAAATGAAACTATGCGGATATGAAAGTAAACAGCTGTAAAGTGAAACTTTTCAATTCTAAGAACTGGACTGAAATGGCTACTTTAAAAAACGGTCGTAGGTAAAGGTTTTTTTTTCATACTTTGATAACATTCAGAAAAATCTAATGAAATTCGGATTGTCATAAATCTCATATGAGCATAAAACTGGCAGTCTGTACGCTTTGGGCGATCAGTAGTTAATCTGGTAACTGGTAACAGTTAGTCTTTTACAACTGAATTTTGTAGGCACCAAGTCTCAATATTTAACGAATAGCCACATGAAGTGTGGAATTAGGTATGATTAACTGAAGACTTTGTCGGGCAATTGATTTTTTGGGCTTCTGATGCAGGATTGTCGGATAATCTTGACTTTTGTCATAACTTTGCTTTTTGCCAGGTGAATAAATTAAATTTAATTTAACAATAGTTCTACACCCTGCAAACCACAGATCACTCTGTGCCTTCTGTTGAGCCTTAAACATTGTAGTCGGTAGCACTGAAGACTGGTGTCAAACGTTTAAGTCACAACGGCGGCCTGATACTGCACATCTGTTTTGCGCTTGTAAGGTTAATGTCTCCTCCCTAGGAGGAATTTATACTCTCTAATTCCAGCTGAGAACCTGGATACACCTGTAAACATAGGTCATAGGTGGTTGCATTTAAAATAATTTTTCTGCAGTCACCTGACAAAGTAGTTGCACTGATTATAGCACAGAAAGTTGGTATTTGCAGCACTTACGTTTGCAGCACTCTTTTTACTTTTGTTGCACCCTTTTTTTTGCCGGACTCCAGTATTCCAACCAAACAACACAAAACAGCATACTTTCATTAGGCACGTTATATGTGTACGGTTTAAAATAAGTTGGGAACATTTAAAGATATTACAACTAAGAACAGCTGGTGCAGCGTTTCCCATTTTGTTTAATGTTTGGATTAAACCTAACCTAAAAATGTGTTGTATAGTGTTGAAATACCAATTCTTTGAGTGCCTCGAGCGGGTGTAACAATTTTATTTGAGGTTTGGTCTGCCAGGCCTACAGTGCTACACTCAAGTGTATTTTTTACGCTTGATAAAATTGTTCTCTTGTTTAAAATAGCACCAATTTGCTTCTAGTTTAAAAAATTGCAGAGTTAAATCCATCTGTTCTGTGTGTATTTTTTAGAGATTGCTAGAAGTGCAGTCCCAGGAGCGGAGAGTGAAGCCTCATGTGTTCTGTTAGTGCCTCGACTCATGTCTGATGAAGGCAGGTTCAAGCTGCGATCTGCAGCGGAGGCAGTAGGATGGGATGTAATGCATATAATCTGTGAACCAGCAGCGGCCATTCTGGGATACGACTTGCTCTCGGATTGCATAACTAAGTAAGTGCTGAAATAGACATCCCATCTATATGGACCAGCTGTTGGTAGTTTTTTTTATTAACACACTGACCGTGCAAGGCGCAAATCTGTGCCCCTACCTGACTTGTATTTCATTGCTTCAGTGTGAGAAGCTACCGTGAGTTGGTATTTCTTGTGCGCGTAGGGCGATTCCCCCATTTTCATTGCGTGTTCACCGCGTTCCGATTCATCGACTATTACGGAATTTGTGATTATTTCATTATGTGCATGTAGCATATTTCAACCATAATTATAAGCATTTTCAGCGGTAAGTGTGTAAAAATATCCCCCTAATCTTGCAGACTAAGCAAATTTCCATTTACCTGATTAGATTTTTACCAAAGTACTTGCTTAAAAATGTCAGATTTATTCCCTATCTAAATAAGTTTGCTGACTATTTACTAGGTTTTCTGCTACAGAGAAGGGAACAGGTGTTTTGTTTTTGTCAAATGTTAATAGTAGGTATTTGCCTAACTAAGTTCTAGGCTACACATTGACTTAAATAAAAAATACAAATTTTCAAGCTTTATGTTTACAAATTAAAAAAAATTATAAAACCCCTTTCTCATTATCCAATCTTTTTCGTTCGTGAACCTAATCTAATCAAGTTTATCCAGCCCTAAACATTCGACATAGGCCTATTAAATATTATTGTGAAAGAGTTATTTTGTAGATTTGTAATTATTCTCTGTTGACAGGAAAGTATTGGTGTACAGAGTAGGAGGCAGAAGTTGTGACGTAACATTGATACAAGTGGACCGAGGATTTTTAAACATTCAGGATACAGAGTACACTGAAGACGTGGGGGGTAAACTCCTCATAAATACTCTTACCAATTACTTGGCACAGGAATTTTACAGGTAATTGGATTCAAATTTGTGGTTGAAATATTAGAACTCCTTATAGTTGTAAGCTTTTATAAAATGTGTTGATACATTTGATGTTATACGTCTGTTTTAGTTCAATTTGCAATGTTGTTAGTGTTAGTGTTGTGCAGTGATTTTAGTAAAGTTTTCAAATATTTCAATGTATTTCATGGAGAGGATGAAACCAACTAAAATTTATTAACTACACTAGAGTCTTGCTAATCTGAACCTCAATGATAAAAAAAAAATTTGGGGGAAAATGATAGGCCTGCGAAATTTAAAACTAAAACAAAGCTATGTGTTCTGAAATACTAACAGGAGTTGTATGGAACCGGGGAACTTAATCATCGCTAAAATTCTATGTCCATTAATTACTCCGATTCCCTTATTTGTCTTTTATGGTCAAGTGTGCGGGAATAGAGTTTATCCATAAACCATGTGAATTTAAGAAGATCGTTCAGTATTCAACCCATTTTCATTGTCTTATTTATTTACCAAAAATGCCAGTATCTTTGAAACATTAAATACCCCCGCCACAGCAAACCTGCCGACTAAGCGAATTTCCAGTTGCTTGAATTGATTTTCAGTTAAATGTACTGTATTTAATTAACATTAGGTTTTATGAGTACATAGGCTTGCTGCTACAGGGAGGGTAAAAAAGTTTGTTTTTTAGTAAAATATTAATAACTTATTATAAAATAAATAAATTTACCAAGTTTGATCAAAATATATCCATAAACAAACAAACTACGGTACAACATTTTACAATATTCTCACTTTTTGTTGAGAGTGTTAATTTGATGTACATATCAACCTATGCTTACATTTAAGATTTTCTTCCGTCTCCTAGCGGACCGTCCCCCTAAGAAGGTAGCGTATCACTGAATAATGTGATAAAATGATTATAATTCGCAGTGGCTTTGTACCAAGTTTTGTAGCTCTGTCTTGATTATATTTTGAAATATTTGACTGACCTGGGACTTTTCTACTCTGTATATACGAGTGAATTTGAAGGGATGGTGTTTTTTAAATCTGGGTACATCAAAACTAAAAAGTAAATCTCTCTTGGGTCCAGGTCTTACCATAAGGCGTATGTTAATAGCTTATTCCCTCTATGGGATATTCGCTAAAACTGTTGACAATAAAACGTAAAACTACAGATTTTTTTGCAAAATATCACAATTTTTTTAAAATTATCATTGATTTGCCGTAGTCCAGACTAGACCAATCCATATCACCAAAAGTCTACTGTAGTAGTAATAATCATTAGCTTGTAAGACAAACCCAATATTGAGTGTGTTCTTAACATGTTTATTTCATTGTTGCAGGAAATACAAGTTGGATCCAAAAGAGAGTCACAGGTCTCTGACAAAATTGACACTAGCAGCAGAAAATTGCCTTCATGTTCTATCATCTATAGAATCTGCCAATTGCTTTGTTGAGAGTTTATGTGAAGGAGTAGATTTTAGTCACCAAATGTCCCGCGCTCGTTTTGAATCCTTATTGAACCCGTTCCTTGTTGAATTTGCCAAACCACTGCATTCGGTCCTCTCCAGGCAGAATTTGACTCCTGATGATGTTACAATGGTAATTATTACTTTGATTTCTTATGGTGATAGACTAACATTCTTACAACACATTTTATTCAGTTGTAAGGCTCTATGAAAAATTACTACCGCATAACTACTAACTAGGTTATATCGTAATTTAATGTTCAATGCTTACACTTTAAATTTGGCGGGATTTTGGCACACTATGTTGAGGTTATGGCCAAGGCAGTAATATCTATCTGTGTTGAACTGTAAATAGCGATTTGTTTGATATTAAATCTTGAGTGTTGAATTATTTGTTTAATAACGCATTAAAGTTACAAGGGTTGTTTATGAAGTAAGGAACATTTTGGTGTAAAATAAGAAGTTTGTACAAGAATAAATATTTATCTTATAAACAATTGAAAGAGAAACTAATATTCTACATTTCCACACATCCCCCAAACAAATAGAGACATTTATCAAAGCATTGAACGAGCTTTGAAATTCCTATGTCATAGGATTCCGTTGCTTGAGAGCTCAGCTACCTGGTGACATGCGATTGGAGGTGTTAGTTATAATCAAAGTGCTATGCTGCTAACCAAGTCTTAATTTTGGTGCACTACACCAATAAAAGTCACTCTGATCCAGGTATAGAGTAGGGTAGGTGGTTGAGTGAAAATCTCCCTTTCAATGAACAATGACAAAATAACAAACGCAAATAACAGCGAGATTTGCTGAACCAGGAACCAATTTGGTCTGGGTTCTGCTAGGGCTTGGATTTGGTCAGGAGGACCATAGGTCAGCCTGTGTTGCTGTTTATTATTTGTTTGTTGATATTTTATATTTATTTGTTTTTCCTTTAGATTTAAAATCAACCGTCAGTGCTTTGTTTATAATTGAAATTACACATGGTATAATTCTCAGAAAAAATGTGCAGGACACTCAAAGAACTGTGTTGATTGCTGATTGAACTTTATATTAATTAAAAAACATATTTTCATAACATGTTGGTGCAGACAAACCTCGTATGGTTTTTGCACATATTGTATCACATGTATGTATAAATTTTGTGTATGATAAATAAATTTATTGATTGACAAAAACTAAACATAGTGCACCTATTCTCATAAAGTTAACTGTGTCCCTTTGACTTTGAAATCTAGTGTTTGAAGTTTGTTCTAGTCCCCAAAATGGAGTATTTTAATTGTTATGGATAAGTTTTAAAACTTTTACATGCAAACATTCCTTATTTTCAAAAGATGTTAATTTTGTTATTTAAAAGAAAGGCAAGTCAAAATTACCCAAGAGACCTGAAGATATTATAGGATCAGATTCCAGGATTTCCAAAATGTGTACCAACATGTGTTGAGAAGGACGCTTGGGTTTCATTATTAAATAAAACGACTATTACAACCCGATTCCCTGCAAGACTTGTCAGTTATGATTCTTTAAGGTAGTAATTTTAGAAGACTATTGACAATATTTAAAATCATTGTGACCCTCTTTAACTACCTGTCTCTCACTTTCTTCTTTCAGGTCTTACTTTGTGGTGGGCCGATGAAAATGCCTAAACTGAGAAAGTACATATCGGAAATATTTCAAGAATCTAAAACCAAAATTGTGCCGCTGCTGACTGGTGTAAACTATGACGAGGTGTTGGCCTGTGGTGCTGCTCGCCAAGCAGGCTACATAGCTGACAACAATATGGGCGACAACTTCCTTCCAGATCAACTTGAAATTCCCGTTCTGGAATTTGCTATCACAATAAAGGTATTCCTCACACTCTAGTCCTTTAAAATTACAGCCTCATAAGTGTGGATCATACCTCTCTTTTGTATTACAAATTTCCTACTTAGGGAATAAGCTATTACTATAGGTTTCATGTCTGTTACCTAGACTCGGGACCGATTTACTTTGTGTTTTGATGTCCACTGTCCAAAGTTTTAAAATGGTACATTCAAGAAATTTTTGGACTATTGCCATTTTTGACTCGGTTTTCCGTTTCAGTTCAAATTTGCGGCATTGTATTCTACATGATTCTACTAGCAAAGGCTGATGTACATATCAACCTATGCTTAAATTTAAGACTTTCTGCTGACCCCTAGTCCCCCTGAGGAAGTAGTGGTTCACGGAATAATGTGTTTAAATGGTTTTGTTGCCCAGTAACTTTGTAATTCTATCTTGATTTTTTTTATTCCACTGTCCTGGGACCTTTTTCCACCCTGTATATAAATAATAAAAGCACCCTGTGTAATAACATAATAAAAGCAAATTCATGGATACCAAAACCTTATAGGCCTACTGTTTTTCTATTGGCAACATACAAGACATGTGTTAAAACATGACTATTCATGATAATTGTTTATGAAAAAATACTCAAATAGTAACTAATTTCACTGTTGTTTCAAGGATTGTTTACATTTCCCATAAGTTATTAGTGAAAAAAAATATTACCTGTAATAATCAGTTTATCTGAAACAACATAAACCTATCATCACCAACAGATAACCTTACACAAAGAAAATCATAATCAGTGTGGCTTAGGCTAAATTGTAAGTGGGCGGTACCGGTAGTTAACAAAAACAAAAATGATAAAAATTTCAAGTCACTTATCAGAACTTGTATACAAATCGGATGGTTGATGCAGGTTGAAGGGGCGCAATCTGATCGCCATGAACTGGAGAGTGGACTTTTTCTCCCCATCCACAAGACCATGAGAGTATCTTCTCCTGAGGAACTGGTCACCCTCACATTCTCACAGTTTGAAACTGATCAGACCATTTTGAGAGGACAGGTTGGTATACATTCTTAGTTAAGTAATATTTATAACTTGTTTGATTATATTTGTTGTAGGGAGAGCAAGCTTACTTCTATAGGGGGGGGGGGAGTCTGCTTAGTAGGAAACACATTTGTATATAAACACATACGATTGAAATATTTAATGGTCACGGACCACTTTGTCAATCACAAAGAAAGATTTATAATTTGTTTGGTGGACTTGTAACATAAGTCACAAAGTAAATTATCAGAAAAGGCCAAAAATGTATGGTAAAAACTGGATTTCCTCTTCATAAATAATAGACAGGTCAACTCACTAGATTTGAGCGACACAGGATACCCTTATTTTATGGTGCTGTCCCCTGCCCTTAGACCACTTAACTGTTTTTGCTCTTGGTATTGTGGTGAAAAATATAATATGCGACTCATCTGTCCTGAAATCCTGTGCTCGGCAAGACTAATACTATCATGTTTATACCGTAAACACTTACTTCCGAGATTGTAGCGTAATGTTCTAAATACTATATAAAATCTTCATTCAGTAACAGTATTTATATTTAGAAAATTGGGAGACAAACTAAGGGCACAGAAGAAACTTGCTTATGGGACAACCGTGTGCTTTCAGCTCTAGTAATTTGTGCCAGAAATATACTTATGACAAGCAAGGAAGAGCCCGAGTGACGAGCTCTGTGTGGAAATTCCTATTGCACAGGGCACGTGGTCTTCCCCCACCGTTGTAGTACTTAAGGGCGAGGAGAGGGTGTTCAACTTTCCACTTAACACCATTGAATTTTGTTCTCTATACCTTACTTCTCTATGGTACAGTTATTCAAGGTCAGTTCAGACGCCAGACCACATCAATAGAGATTGTGCTGCTGTGGAAAACAGTTCTTATAGGCCCACTCGTAAACAAGCGGCTGCTTTGAACATGTCTGACCGCTTGGCTAGACGAACTTTGAGGTTCGATATTAATTTTCGTCCATACAAATTGGACCATACAAAGGGATAATATTTGCTGCACAAATGATTGATTAAAATGCAGTTTTAAAGCTGCTCACCTGATCTAAGCGTCTGTGATTTTTTTTTTTTGGGCTTCTTAATGTCAGGAGTTTACACCAACATGCCAGCCTGAATCCTGAAATATTAAGTAAAGTGTTTGACAGTTTTGGTGCAAGACGGGAAGAGTGTTTATAAGGAAACCGTTTGAAGGAAATTATTTTAAAAACAGCCTAATCATTGTTATTCATATGTAAGTTTTTGTTAATGGCAATCAATACCAGTCTGCAATTACCAATAAAACATATTGTATCACTGTTATCTTTGAGTTATTCGTTATTTGACAGTGCTATGGCACATAGATGGTTTTTTTTGCCGCACCCTGTATAAATAACTATGTGTTGAAGGTCCATAATTATAAAAAATGTGTGCATTGCTACTTAACATATCCCAGCACCATTTTAATTTGTAATTATTAGAATCAAAATCCTTCGATATTCATCATACAATAGCTAGAGCCTATCCTAAACTGAGGGTGAATTACACAATTTGTACCATAAAAGAGCTCTCATTATTAAATCTGTTTGAGTTTGAGGTTATCTTGATGTATAGCTCGTTGCAACCCAAATATTAAAAAAAAAAATGTTTTTTTCAGTTGCAACTGGAAGGACTACCTGATCCCTGTTATCTGGAGTTGGAAGTAAACAGGTAAAAATTCTTCATGTGAATAAAACTGTAAAATAAGTTGGTTTAAAGTATATTTTGATTGAGCTCTATAGTGTTAGCAAAACTGGAGTGCCGATGGAGACCAGGTCAAGTCCCTTCAAATGCATGCACCCACACAGCACAGAAAACATACTACTATAACCCAGAATGCTAACCGCATGGTAAAATGCGTTAAGTACTCAGCTAAGCTTTGCCTGTCAATTCGTAGGCAGTGCCACCAGCATAGCAACGCATAGCCTAAACAACACGTTTTAGGTTAGGTTAAATCCAAGCGTTGAACGAAAATGTAATAACACAAAACAACAGGTTAAGTAAGACTAGCTAGCCGCGTTCGAGCTTGGTGTCCCAAAACATAGTCTGGCCCCGCTTCCCAGTCACTCGTGGCAGCTACCCAGTCACCCAGTCTAGCGGCGTATCAGTACATGTAGCCTTATGGGAGCATTCACACGAGCGATCGGGCAGCCCGCATTCTTCCCTTTGTTCTCATTGTGCACCAGTGATGGATATGAGTGGTTTTGATCTCGAGATTTTCATCTAGTCCGTGGACATGTCGCTCGTGTGAACCGGTGTATCCTGTGGTACGCTACCCAGTCGGGCTTACCTAGTCACAGCCTAGTCAGCTAGGTATTTTGCTCCAGGCCTAAGTCGAGATCAAAATTCAAAAGGCTGTGAAACACTGCACTAGCTGATTAAGTATACTTGTATTACACGACTTAAAAAATATACCCCCGCCGCAGCAAACCTGCCGTCTAAGCGAATTTCCATTTGGCTGAATTGATTTTCAATCGATCTATTTAAATAACATTAGGTTTAACGAGTACCTAGGTTTGCTGCTACAAGGAAACTAATAAAGTGTGTATTTTAAGTAAAATAATTATTGCTTAGTAGAAAATGAATATATTTGCCAAGTTTGATCAAAAGATATCCATAAACAAGCAAACTACAACATTTTACAATATTCTCCATAAGAATAACATGGGAATTTTAAATTTACAATTTTTTTAGTTTTCTCCATAATCAATAACCGTACAAAAACACTTTGATATACTGAATTGTTTGTTTTTTTAAGCTCTTTAAGAAGGTTTAGAGAAAAATTGGGAAATTTTGTGTTTTGAGGGTCAAAAGTGAGAAAAACCAATTTTTACCCCATAAAGTCCCCCATAAAACCCTGTTCCCATGGTCCGATCATGCTGGATCGCGAACTCATTCAAGTTTATCCCGCCTTACACCTTCAAACCAAATTTCATCAAAATCGGATAAAAATTACTCAAGTTATCGTGTTCACGGACACATATATATATAAATCTATATATATATATATCTATATATATATATATACATATATAAAAATTTTTACGAATGGTGTTTTTGGCCTCTGGGGACATCAAAATGAAAAAGTAAATCGGTCCCGGGCCTAAGTCTTACCATGAGACCTACAGTAATAGCTACTTCCCTATAGGGAAATTCGCTAAAACACACTGTTTTATGTTGTTTGGTTGGAATACTGGAGAGTGCGGCAAAGTAAAATGAGTTTGGTTAAAGTAAGTAAAAGCAGCAATAAGCGTACTTTGTGTGCTATAATCAGTGCAAGGAAGCCTGCTTTGTCAGGTAACTGAAGGGAAAATCTTGTGTGCAATACGAGCACAGTCATTGCCGCTTGAGCAATGTATGGCCGCACAAAGCTTTAGCTGAGGGCCTAAAAAACTATAAAACCAATTAAATACTTTGCGCTCTTATTACACAAATACAGTAGCCATATTCTTTAGTTCCACAGATAATCCAGTATGTGAGCATAGTTTTGACTGTTAATTTTATATGTTCCATACATTGTAAGTTACTTCATTATTCATTAATATCAATAAATATGAGACCATTTTACTATTATTGTGCCTCTATTTGTTAGCTATTCATGCTCGTTATTCAATTAATATAAAAGAGTGCAAGTGTCGCTTTGTGGATATTGCAGGCAAAATTTAAAATCAAATGTATTAAAAGTTATAGTAAAAAAGTATATTGTAGTAAAATCAATTTAGAAATTGTTGTGGAAACCCTGGTTAAGAAGGAGTAAGAGATACATTTCTCATTTAGTCAAAGCATACCTAGAATTTAAAATAGGATGGGTTTGAGCTTTTGTTTGCTGAAAGTATTTGATTTTATGCGTTCATATTAAATTTCTTAAATTGCATATTTTGTATAGTCAGACAATCATCTTTACTTTCAAAACCAGCATGATTTTGGACGATTTGTAAACTGCACAGTTTTTAGACTACCCTCGACGAAGCCACATGCACAGCACAACCAATTAATTCAGGTAATCCATGTATTTTGAGAACGACATACGTAGTTCAACATCACCCATAATTACGGCGATATTTATTATGCAATTTTATTGTAAAAGACCCTTTTATTGTTGATGGGAAACAAAAGTTTAAAAACTTTAAAGAATACTCCGTGAATTTATTATTGAAAGTAGATACTTATTTCATTTTATTAATGTTTCAGTGAAGATGGATTAAAAGTAGGAGTTCCTGAAGAAGGCGAAGATTATCGACATCACATTGTGAAGATGCGCCCAATTCCTTTATAACATGGCTATTTGTCAAAATGTTGTGTAAATATGTCACCGATGAAAAGTCATTAATAGACCATCTAAATTTTGAATATATATATTTTTCCAATTCTAAAGAAAAGACAATAATTAAATGAGAAGATATTAGGACCGAAAAAACTAATAACAGTTCATGACCCTAAAGAGACAATGTCTTATTGTCTAAAAACCATATCAGCTGTTAATGTAAATTTTATTTATAGTTTCATTGATTAGTGTTGTAGTAGATTTCATTAAGAAGTCTTAGAAACAATTTAAAAATAAACAGTGATCTTTACCATTTTTTGCCCTTTGTTTGATTATTTTTTTTCAAACTATGCTCATACATTTTAGTTGTTCATAAATATAATTTACTAATCTGTTCTCCTGTTCGTGTTTTGTATAGGCTAATAGTATTTCCTATGCTCTACAAAATATACCGTGTCCCAAAGAAAACTGAACAACTTTGTTGGATTGTAATTATTTTAATTACACACATATGGAAATGTTTTAAAATAAAAAGTGACACACTTATTCTTACGTTTTCATTGATATAATGTTTGTTAATGTACTTCAACTTCAACATTATTCCCATTGTTGGCAAAAATATAGTCAATATGGTTATCTAGCTTTGACCACACTCTATGTCTCATTTCATCTGTGATGTTGCTGAAGGCTGCATTGATTCTCAATCTGAATTTTCAAACATTGGATACTTTCGACTTGTAAACTTGGTCTTTGACAAAGCCCCAGACAAAAAATTCACAGGATGTTAGGTCGGGGGACCGTGGAGGCCAGCGTATCAGACCGTCCGTCCGTCACACCCAATCCATTGTAAAGGGAAGGAGTTGTCAAGTGACTCTCTAACAAAAAACTTCCAATGTGGTGGGGCTCCATCTTGTAAAAACACATTGGGCTGTAGGTCTAAGTTGTCTAGCATGTCTAGATAAATGTTGCCATTTATTGTTTGTTCATGGAAGAAAAATGTATCAATAAGCCTTTCATTAGATTTTCGCACCACACGTTCAACTTGGGGCTTTCTCGAATATGTTCTCTTCTCGAACTTCATATGGCTTTTCAATGCCCCATATTCGAAAATTATGTTTATTAACTTTTCCACGAACATGGAATGTGGCTTCGTCGGAAAACACTATATTTTTTTGAAAGTGTTCATCAACAAACTTACGATCAAGCACAGTAGCTGCAAAGTCTTTACATTTCAGTTTGTCATCTGGGGTAATTTGTTGTAAAATAAACAATATAAGCTTTCATATTGAGGGTTTTCTTTAGTACTCACTCGGTGAACACTCGATTTTAACAAATTTAATTCACATGCTGCGATGCGGACAGATTTTTGAGGACTAAGAAGGAATCCTTGATGCACGTGTTCTACAACTTCATCTGGGAGCTTAGGCCTACCATTACCTTTCAAGTGTTTTATGCTTCCAGTCAACATAAACTTATCATACCAGGCTTGGATGGTGTTCCTTGATGAAGGATGTTGACCATCGCGTTTTCTAAATCTTCTTTGCTCTAAAATATCGGATTATGTTTCAATGTACCATTCAACACACTGAGCTTTCTCTTGCACGTTCATAACGCCTGCCTTACTGTAGGTTATGTTTTGATGTTTAAAGGTTCAAAAGACAACAATGGATCAGCTGATACATGTAAATCATGTTTAAAAAAACTATGAGTTCCTCTCATATGTAATTTTCAACAAATATCTATGTACTAATAGATTTTATTTGGCCTTAAAGTTGTTCAGTTTTTTTGGGACACCCTGTACAGTGATTGTTAAAATCTCAGGATCTTTCAACTATTTTAAGTAGTTGCCACTTTTAGTAATGATAAGTTAATAGAAAAACCAGGAATGTTTTTGACAAAATAATCACCCGTTCCTAATTGTAAGCCTTCGACAACTATATGCTGGTGTCTGGGCTGTAAAATTCTGATATCATTAAGATCTGCTCAATTAGGAGGATTACTTTATACTGTGTAAAGTGGAGTGAAGGCGTGGGCTCAGTTGGTATACGTAATAAATAATGATCATGTCACTGCTACTCAGGTTGCTACTGATAAAAAACATTGTATTTACATAGAATCATTAAAATTATGTATGAAAATGTCAGCAGCTAGCAGTTATGCTAACAAATATGAGTATTACAGGAGTCAAATACTTCAGGCCTAAGGTAGAAATCCAAGCCTTTTTTTTACCAATGTACTATAGTTATAAAATATTAGGTTTTCTTCATGAGGAATTGACTTTGTTATTATTTTATTTTACTTGCAACTAGAGGAGAAAGTTACATTCTCAAGGTTCCTTATGTTTAAGTTTTTTTTATGAATAAATTGTAAACAATGTATTTTGTACATGATTTTTTCTTCCTTAATTCGTTACTTTCTGAGATTTCTGTTTGAAAGAGTTAAAAGAGTTAACATTTTAACAGCATTAAATGTTGTGGCTCAGTAGTTACTATTACTGAACATTTTTAAGTCACTAAGTAAAACCCTAATTGCTGCATAAAAAATTATGGTTCAAAAGTTATTGCAAATTGTGATTTTCCCCTTAAAACCCTTAGTAACTCCGACTGCTTACCCATGATAAGAGTTGTTGAACGTATCCAGCAAAGCAAGGGGGAGCAGGTCCAGTACGAAGGTGAACTGTACTGATAAAATGTTTGCGGCAGTGACCAGGATCCGAACCCACGGAATTGCTGCCATGGACCTGAAATCCGTGACGCTACCGACTGAGCAACCGACTCACCAAAATATGTAAAAATATACATATTTTAAAGCCATCTTCACAAATAAAAAAGTATAAACTCTATATTACTGTGACATTAAAATCTTAAGTTTGAGCAATAGATGTCAATTTAGCCATAGGTTTCCGTTTGTACCAAATCTATGGAATATCCCTCTTCATCATATTCCCTTCTCTCAATGCTCAAGCAACCCTCTATCTTTTTATGACTGAATGCCAGTAGGGTATGTTTACTATGCGGCTTGTTTTTGGTCATAAATAAATTGGGTTCAAGGTACTGAAAGATTAATTTATAACAAGATATTTATTAAACCTTCAATTGCAAGTTACAATTATTTATAGTCATCAGTTATTTGATTATTACCTATCACAAAACTTTTCACTTAATTTATATTAATTATATATTATTTTCCCAACAATTATCACACTTTTCTTTTCATGCTGTACAATGTTTTTGTTTAACAATTATTAAAAACAACAAACTAAATTTACTTAAAAACGAACAACTTTGATTAAACAAAAGTACAAAACTACTTTTTGAAAGAATTGTTGGCTTCAAGGTTCGCTGATGATGTGCGATTAGTTGGTGCTCTCAGCTTCTTTACAGGCCAAATTGTCTGGGGCACTTTTCTGAGTGACTGGGGTGCCCTTGGTCCTCGCCTCAATCTTTTATTGAGCCTAGAAAAATTACGATGATAAACTTGACTTCTAGCAGAGATTCTTCTGACTAATGCTTCACTAGTGTCCCTGTTTATCGTTTCAATGAGGCCTGTTTGATTGTTATCCTCGTTGCTTGTTGTGTAGAGGGGCTGATCCTCAGCTAATCAACAGAAAGAGGACCCAATTAAAATTTAAGAAGTTAAAAGTATGTTAACTCTTTGAACTCTATTCAGTGATTTAGTTATATCCATTTCCACTGCGTTTTCCCTCATCTTATGGACATAACATCCTAATGATTTTCAAACTATCTGGTGTGGTGACACACATAAGCAACAAATTGCTAAATGGCTGATTTGAGGTGCAACCCGCCCCATAATCAATTTCTGTTCTCACTGTTTAGGTGTGCTTCTGGCCACAGACAAGTAAACTCCTCTTGAGTTGCACACTAGGCCAGACCGAGAAACCCAACCGTAGTTATAAACTTGACTCCCAGGCTGTCAGGTATATTGCTCAGCAGGTTTTGTTGCCAAACTTGCGTACAGATAGTTGAAAGTCGGAATAAGTTCAAAGAGTAAAACATGTATATAGGTTTTTTACAGATTTTAATTTTGCTACTACACTGTGTATGGAGTTTGGCCAATATTTCAGTCATATAAATATAATCTTGTTCTTAATATAAATATTAAAAAAAGGCTTGGCCATAATTGGTTTGTAAGTCTAGTTGACTCTCAAAGACAATAAATAATCTGAATATTAATATTTATTTCTGGGCAGTGATGTGAAACTGATCTCATGAAAATACCATGAATTGAGATAACATACTTTACTGTATTGTTGAATAAAGATAGAGGTAAATATGACTCAGAAAAAAATGTTGGCTTTGAATTTTACCAAGCCTTAAAATAGTTCATAATTTTCTGCTGAAGTTTCTTGTCCATTTTTTTAGAAACAAATAATTACTACATTGGACCAACTGTACTGGAAATAATAAAACAACTTTTCCACCTGAGATTAAGCTGATTGCCTAATACCATTAGAAAGTTTTAATGCCAGTCTGAGAAGATTGCAGATAATTTGCTATTGAAGTCAGATGCTATTTAAGTAAAAAAAAAGGTAAGTTAAGGGAAAACACCCTTGAAACCATGGTGACGGGCAGACATTGCCCTATTTCACACTAGGTAAAAGCAGCAATTTATCAGGTGCCTTATGTCCAGTGACGCTAAGACGCCCAAAACCATGTTCTCAATTAATCAAATTTTGCTAATAAACAATGTAAGACATAACCTTTAACATTTTAAAATCCAATTTTTAGCCCCTGAGCTGTGATGTAACTAGAAGTAGGGTTTACAAATGAGTAACCCTATTTTTAACCTACTTTTGTTATCAACCACTTTGGGTTTTACTGTAGATGGGTGATTTTTTGGATACATAGGAGGTTTTGCTGTCAGGCGCTTAGACTGGCGTAGGTTTTCTATTCCTAGCCAGAATCTACTGCCTGGCTTCAACAGATCGCGACGGGTAAGTGGAAGTTTGACAGATGTTCTTCTCGGTGATACCTGGTCTCCGGTGTTCCCAGCAGCTCTTGGTTGGTGCCCTCCATCACCTGCTGGGCTCTTACATCTTGCAATGTTTGTGTGGTTGGACATGGTTAAAATCACCTGAAATAGATAAGAAGGTTAAAATTTATGTGTAAGTCTTAATGTCAATTGTATTAATTTTTAATAAACATCGTATACAAATCTATAAATAAATTTAGCTCCAGACATTTTATAGCAACAATGTTTTAGATTATCCAAAAATCTAATTCTTGTTACAAAAGGTATGTTCCTATTTCAAAAATCGCTGTTACTTATAATATTAAGTAATGACAGGGACTTTTGAGTTTTGCTTAAAAACAGGTGTAAAATTAGTACCAACCCCCCCCCTGTTCCAAGGTCCAGGGAATAAAAAATAAGATGAAACAAAGAAAGCAATTAAAATTTCAAATACAGTCTAACACCTTATGGTGTCGAATGTTCTGTATAACTTACTCCTCCGATGATTTCATGAACAACTGTTGGGATATCTAATGAAAGATTGCAAAATAAGTTTGTCAGACTCTGATGTTACAAAAAGGAAAAAGAAAATAACTATGTTTCATTTAAACAGAATACTTTTAAACTAATTTTTTTTAATGCCATGGATTGCGTTCTCACAAATATTACCTTAAAAGTGGATTTTTTTTACTACTATAAGTTAACCGAATTATCATTATTATTAACAATTATTACTTGTTTCAATTACTTCAGTCAACTGTAAGTGAACATACATGTGTAAGTGTACATTTGAGTAGATATGCAATAAATTATGATGAATTAATGCACGTCCAAAGGTAAGCCTTAAAATCCATAAATCTCTTGTTTAATGGCCAAGAGCCCAAATGGCCAACATAACCTATTTTCCCCAAAAGCCTATTTTGCCCGATTCTTTAATTTTTTATTTTACGAAATGCGTTTTTCAATAAAGTCTACATTATATTTTTAATTACGGTACTCAGATTATATTAGAAATCGGTAGTTTATAAATTTCTTCAGGTTTTGTTATTTATTATAGCCGTTAGACTTCCGTATCTGTTGGCACAAACAACCTAATGAAAATATCAATCGATATATTGATTATTCGATATATCTTTTGGTTAGTTAGGTAAGGTTAACCTAACCTAACTAACCAAACGATGTATCGAATGAAACAATTGAATAATCGATAGGCCTATTTTCATTCGGTCGTTTGTGCCAACCGATACGGAAGTCTACCCATTATAGCTTATAAAATTTATCATCAACTGCAAGCACTAAAATTCATTTGTCATTGTATTGCCATCTATACTTCACACATTTTTGTTTATACATTTACGCATGTTCGTCAGTGTCTTGAATTCATTCATATGGTTAAAAACTGTAAAAATGGAGTTGTCCGTTGAAATGTAAAATAAAATAAAATAAATATGAATTTTTATTTGGTTTTATAGGCTAACATTAAGTAGGCCTATACTAGGGCAGCCATTTTATTAGCATGGTTGAGATTGGGTAGGCCTATTAATTAATTTTAAGATAGCCTATGTAAATATATATTAGCCTATGTATAAAGTAAGAGAACTATTTACTGTAGCCTATACATCATTTTCCAGTACCTAGCCTATCAGTTAAATTAATAAAATTTAAGACTTGAATTGACAAAAGGTAAGATTGGCAGATAGGCTATGACTTATTATAGACATATTTTAATAAATAGGCTCAACATAAACAATAATTGGCCTTTGTACAGGTAAATATTTTAATATATCAAATTGAAAAGCTAATCGCAATAAACATTTTAAGTTTACTATTTTCAAATATAAACTTAGTATTAAATTTAAATACGTATCTTAAAACTTACCAGAAACAAACGCAACTCGAAACAAATACGGAAATTTGAACGGGAGTAGCGGTAGAAAACAAGACAATCTACCGGATAAACCTAATTCCAATGCAGCCAACATAAAAAATGTAAAGAGCTATAATGTATGTAGTGTATATATACACCGTATCGCATTAACAAATATTATTTACTACTGATAGATATAATTGATTTTGAAAAGTGCAAGTAGATTTTTAGTAAATCTGAAATCTGTGTCATTAAATATACATTTCTCCCTTGGGAATATGTATAATCAATGCCTGCATAGATGTGTGTTACATTATGGCAAGTTTGAGAGCGAGTTCAATGTATCTCTCTATGATCAATCAAAGTTTAGCATTTACACTTGGAGACTGCGATCCCCTTTCGTAGTTTTATCCTGCTAGGATTGAAGACACCTGATTTTAGACATTATGATCCTTAATATACACTTCTTCAGCGTTATATGGAAATGTTGTAGAAGCCATGAGCATTGAGCTAGATTTTAATTTATGTCTGATTATTGTCTTGAACCATAGATAAAACATACTTCATCGTGTTGGTTAGTCTATGATTGAACACGTTGCAAATAGATTCATGTTGAAGCCTTCCGGAATTGGTAATCAATTATAACAGGTTACGTACCTTGACGTCCACAATTCCTTAGTCGGTGTCTGTTGACTATAGTTTCGACTACTACGTAGTCATTATCAAAACAGAACGTTAAAATAATGTAATAAAATAATGAATGTAATTATTTTAACGTTCTGTTTTGATAATGACTACGTAGTAGTCGAAACTATAGTCAACAGACACCGACTAAGGAATTGTGGACGTCAAGGTACGTAACCTGTTATAGTTGCAAAAATAGACTTCTCTATGGCAAAATCTGAAGCCTGGATTTGATGTAGTCCTAAGTATCATCGTAGAATAAATAAACACCATTATGCAATTTGACCTTGTTGTACCGGGTGTCCAAAACCACCCGTACACCCCTTTCAAAACGATGGAAACCATTTCTTACAAACAAAAAATAATACAGAACTAGCTAAATTGGGCACGGTCTACCAAATGGTGATAATTTCAAATCCAAAATCACACCGGAAGTGGCTTTTTCAGACCGGAAGTTGACTTTTTTTAATGTAAACTACCAATTTTGATTACAGAATCGGAATCTACGTTGAAAAATACATAACTTTTGTCTAAAACATTTTTTGATCAAACTTGTTTTCACCTCTAATGCCCCATTAAAGTAAATAATTTTTGGTCATTCAACTGTCAAAGTTACTCGAAACAATAATAGAGAAAAACAAATAACAAAGATTACATAAAGACATGTGATAAATAGAATCAGCTGTTCATTGTAAACACCTTAGCAATTGAGTAACAGCTGATCTACACATTGCTTAGTTTCATTTTATTTTAAAAATAAATCATTTGTTTTTACATTAAAGGGGTCAAATGTAAAAATAAATTAAAAAAAAAAATTAAACTTAGCAATGTGTAGACCAGCTGTTACTCAATTGCTAAGGTTTTTAAAATAAACAGCTGATTCTATTCATCGTATGTCTTTATGTAATCTTTGTTATTTGTTTTTCTCTATTATTGTTTGGAGAAACTTTGACACATGAATGACCAAAAATTATTGACTTTAATGGGGGATTAGAAGTAGAAAACAAGTTTTTTTCAAAAAATGTTTTTGGCAAAAGTTATGTATTTTTCAACGTAGAATCCGATTCTGTAATCAAAATTGGTAGTTTACATTTAAAAAAGTCAACTTACGGTCTGAAAAAGCCACTTCCGGTTTGATTTTGGATTTGAAATTATCACCATTTGGTAGACCGTGCCCAATTTAGCTAGTTCTATATTTTTGTTTGTAAAAAAAGGTTTCAATCGTTTTGAAAGGGGTGTACGGGTGGTTTTGGACACCCGGTATATATAGTTAAAGATTAAGGATAGCTGTTTGTTTTTTTGGACAGTTTCACCGTTTTCCATATGGTTTAAGGTATTCGGTTTAGTTTTAAGGGAATTTCCTTGTAGGGAATTAGCTTACTGTAGGTGGCACAGTAGGACCTAGAGCTTTTTTAATTTTGATGTCCCTAAAGAGGCCAAAAACACTATTTGTTTGAATATAAATATATTTATATGAAAAAATTATAGGTTTATCTCTATAGACTATATATAGCATACGTCTTGTCCGATTTTGATGACATATTGCTTGAAGGTGTAGGGCGGGGAATAAACTTAAATGGCAATGGCGTCATGATCAGACTTTGGGAACAAGTGTAAATAGGGGGTTTTATGGAATAAATGGAGGTTTCCCCATTTTTGACTGTAAAAAATAAAATTTCCCAACTGGTTTCCAATCAATTTTAAAGGGCTTGAAAAACAAAAATATCCGTAAAGTAACTGTACTGTAAGTTTACCAGGTGCAGGTATATTCTCTTAATGGAGTGTTTCTTTTAGAGACTTGATGAACAGGAGTGTGAACATCAAGGAGCTTTTCCGAAAGACTGATGCTTGTGGGTTTCAGGAATGGACACGTCCAGTGGTCACATGACCGTCTCGACCAATAAATTTATTGCTATATTTTAGTTCACCAATTAGGGAATACTTAGACCCCTCTAAGCAAGTAATGTTATAGAATAACGGGACCTCTCTCTATCTCTGTGGAAGGGATAACGATAGAAAATTGAAATAAAGCAGTGCTGAGTTGCCTGACAAATAATATTACATCAAATACTTATACGAAATACTGAACAATAATGAATGGACTCATTAATTTACGTTACCTCCAGACTATTTTTTCACAATTGAAATAGTGGGTAAAACACAATGAAATAACAATATCAAAAATGCTTCCAAAATTTCTGCAGTAAATCCGTCTCACAAAACTATTCCATCGGTTGAAGGATTGCTCTAATAAGCCACTCACAAACGTAATCACCTGTGCATCAGAATTTCGCATTTATATATAGAGATAGATAGATTATCAAATTAACAAAGGGAATATTTAATGTCCATACATTTCCAAATTCATCGTACTTACAATATGATAAATGCAGCAAAAAAAAAACATTATGTTTGTATTTTTAGTTTTAGACATATTGTGGTATATGTTGCATTTTTTTCACTACTGTAAATAAACAAGCTAGATTCTAATTTGTGTATTTTACCATACCCTAAAATCCACTAATAACGTCATTTACATACTTTCCTTCATTGATACAGAGCAGAAATACACTCATTGATGTTTATAGCCTAAGGTGTGTGCCGGACCCAGGCTGCGGGTGAGTGCGGTGTTGCCAGTTCGAACATCGCGGCCTTGTGTATTAGAGGTGGCTATGCCAAAAGACATAAAGTGACTTACCATATCACAGTACTGTAAAATAATAAAATGTTGATTGTTTGTGTGATGAGTTGATGTTAATTAGGACAACCAGTGCAAGTTAAATGGGTACAGCTCTAGTTGTATCTAGTACTCAAATAAATAGGAACATGTTTTAACGACGGTTGGGAAATATCCCAGTCTTATTACTGTAAAACTTTTGTATCTATTATATTTTTAATTTCTTTTTATTACTTGTAACAGTGCACAAATGTGTACTTTTCAATCATATTCACCTCCATCAAGATTCTTCTAATGACAAAGCGGCAGACGATAATAGTTTGTATGAAACATTGAAAAAGAATTACAAAGAACAAATGGTGTCTCTGTGTTATGTTTATTCTTAGCACTCAGCTAATTTTGGGCCGAAGTGTGATTTTGAAATAGACACTGAGAAACTATTTAACCCAACCAATGGAATATCAAAATCATTGAGAAGTTAAAGCTTATTGTGTACAAATCTCCAATCACTTTTTGTATTGCTGCCATGTAAAATAAACAAAATAATGCAATGCAAACTCAGTTGATTGGTTGGTCAACTGACCACTTCACAATCGAAGGTTTGTAACCAAACTGAATTATAAAATATATTTTACTTATATTTCCAAAATTATTGTTTGCGGAGGACATTAGGGACGATTAAGTGTGCACATATGAGCTGGAGAGGAAGTTACTGCGGCGACACTGTCATAATAATCGTCTGTGTAATCTTTGTATGCTTCGTGTCAAAATGTGCCTTTTACGACTAACTAACACAGCTGCTACACCACTGCAGCCAAGATTCAATTATTAAACCTAGTGTGGCAAGGAGCTAATGATGACCTAAATGTCAAAACACAATCGTCGCAAACAATAGGATTGAAAACATAAAACTATATATTTGACCAACTTCATTAGTACAACCTCGTTACGTCCCTCACCACCATGGCCAATCTCCAAATAACCAAGACATGTTGGGCAAATGTAACTACATAAATGAATAAGAATAGTGTTATTGCTTCATATGAGCGTATAATTAGGCTGTGATCGAGTTTCCGCCATTTTTGCTGAACCAAGTTTGTTAACCATGACTATACGTCTGATGCTTCCTGACTATAGTACTACACACCTACATGATGAGTCATTGTCATTGGTTTTTGTGATTTGCTAATATTTTAAACTATTGTATATTTTTAATTTCTTCTCTTTTTTTGCTAAAACTAATTTTTGTTATGTAGGATAAGCCACAGTGCAAGCTAGCCCAATTTAACGAAGTTGTACTGTATTGACATGAATTCCTTACTCCACCAATAAAATCTTCAACTCATTAGAACTGAAAACTACGGGGAAAATGTGCATCTGTTTCCATTTATCCAGAAAATTCTTAAGGAAGTCAATATAAAATATATTGGAATTTTGCTTTGGAAACCACAATTGGTGGAGGAGTTTAATTAGATTTTCCAAAGTTCCAATCAACAAAACATTTTTATTTATACACACCCATGATAATTCCTATATGGCTTACAGTATATTGAACATCTACTGTCAATTAGCCTACTTAAGTAACCATAAGTTTAGACAAATTTGAAAGTTTAAAATTAATACATTTGTGCACCTAATAACCATTACAATAAAATAAGAATCACAAACATAAAAAATTGAATATGCGAATTAGTTGTCAAGAACTAAAACAAGATACAGCTTATATTAGTAAAACATTTGTATATTATTTGACAGGTGATGGAAATTTAGCTTCACTTTTAAAACAATATTGCTTGTTTTGATTTGACATGGCATTGACTTACTAAACATATAAATAATTACAATACAATTTAAAAATATATGCTTAAAATCAGTCTTTTTTTCTTTAAGAAAAATTTTTTAATTTGCCTCCTTAGAGATTTTAATGAAAGAAAATTGATCTGGAGCATACAATTGTAAGGCACAATCAGTCTCCCAATTTATTATTAATATTGATGTGATGCTTAAACACTCATTCCACTTTGTAGGAGTGATTTGCACCCACACGCACGGTTGAAAATACATTATGAAAAGTAGAATAATTTAGGAACTCTAGGCACATATGGTACAGTTTGTTAGTGTTTCATGAAAAATTACTTTGTTTAATAAGCTCTAGTTAAAATAAAACCTAATGGCTAATAAAGTTGTTTTTAAGCTTCTAATTCGTTGAATGGCATGGTTAAAAGTTTGGCAGATATGTTAAACACAGATAGAATTAAGTGAGCAAGTTGGAATTGACACTGTTAGAAAAGAGATTAAGATAACCCAAGATGTCGAGATTAAAATAAATATTTGGAAGAAAATTGCCATCAAAGACAAACAAAAAACTGATTTTTATGCATACAAATATTAAATATGACAGATCTTTTTCAACCCCGAGTAGTTTCAGTGTTTCTGTGTTGTTTTACAATAATGTAATATATCATCTCAAACATACAATGTTAAAAAATTATTACATTTTGTTGTATTCCACAAAACCTAAAAAACATGAATAATCATGCACAACTCCAATCAGTAATATTAAACCATAACATAAAAAAATAAAAATAAATGCAAGATCATTCATTGATTTCCTAATTAATTTATATGATCATTTCAAATCTTAAAATACTGTTGATACAATTATAAATGGAATGTTATATTTTGTTCAATTACCCTGTTATTTCAAAACTAAAAAAAATAGTAATGCCACTCATGCAAAAAATTTTCAACAACAAAACGTACACAAATTTACAAGTATGAAACAAAGCTTATAAATAAATATATAGGTAACAATGATTTTTGATAAAAAAATAAATGCAAAAGAATTTAAACCTATTTTACAGAAGGAATGTTAGTATGGCTTATGAAAAAAATATCATAAAAGCTAGGTAACAATAAAACTAAGCACAAAAGATTGAAATGAAGTTGTGCCACACACTGGTTTAGTTTTATTAACTCTTATACTTCGATTGGTCAAAATATAGAATAATATACTTAATTTATAGAATTAAATTTTATGAAATTGATAAAGTTTCTCTTGATTGAACCCTTTTCTCCCGCAGTCTGTATCTTATATCTATTTTCACTAATACCTTAAGTCGTTGACATGTATAAAAATAACTTACACCTATTTAATGACACACTGAGAGATGGCAGTCATACGTATCCTTTGCCTTATTAAATTGTTAGGAGAAATCACAGCTGTTAGTGAATTTTTAAAAACACAAACACCGATAAAAACTATTGGCTTTGGACAGGAACGTAAGTTTTCTGATACAATCACCAAAAAAATCTTGTTAAAATCCCTTCATAAATAAAATCTCTGAAATATTAACATAACGATAGAACAACATAAAGTACAACAAACACAGTTCAACAAGTAACTACACCGTAAATACTAAAAACGACTGACTCCTCACGGCCAAACTTTTTTGAAGAGATCCATGAATGAATCGTAGATCATGAAAGTGATAGCGACATCCAAGCATACTCTGGATAGCCGTGGGACTGTTCCTTTGTAGAACCTGCAAATTACATCAACATTGTATTGATCATAAATTATTATTTCTCAGGTAAGTCATAAACCTGGGACGCACATCAACTTAAAAGTGCACATTGCAATTTGGAACCATTATTAGCTGCAATCGCCAGCCTCAGCTTAAAATCTGACAAATTACAGATTGAGCAAATAATAATAATTCAATGAAAAAAGTGTGAGGATTTAAATTTCCTAACACAAAAATGAAGTTGAGTGATAAAAATGTTTTGAAATAAATAATACAATTCTTTATTTACAAGCTTGATAGTAATTTAAAATAACGATTAAAATAGATGCACCATGAGTAGTTCTTGAGTCAACTATCTTTACCCATCAGAAACACAGTTTACATTGAATTTCATGAAACAGCTGGCAGGAAAACCTGAGGCCGAAAAAGAGCTCTAATATACTCTTATACATGTTTGGATGGTTATACACTTACGCTTTAGGTCCCTCATTCTTCCATATCTTAACAAAGCAGTCCCAGGTACTACTGTACTTAGATGCCTCCAGACCCTGCATTCTTGTTTTGACAACGTCAATGGGAGTGTTTCCAAAGACCGATGCTGCTCCCGCGACAGCTCCAAAGGCTCCAACAACCATCTTGGGCACAGGTTTGGTTGGGTCCCCACCTCTGTACTTGTCTTTGCATGTCTCCATCACAAAGAATCTGATGGCTTGGTTACTGCCTTGCTTCATAATGGTGGCTGACAGTCCTTGATAAACTCCTCGGAATCCTGACGGATAAACATAGATTAGTTGAAATAAACAAATATTTGACTACCTCGCCAGATTGAATAAGATTTCCAAATTATTTGAAGGAATTTATCCTCATTAACTTATGGATACTGAAGTAATCATCCCATCTATGGTCCAGTTGTAGCCTATTTTTGTTTAAAAAGAACATAGTTGCATGAACCACTCACTGACTGTGCAACTGTTTAAAATTCTTATTTTCTCTTTGCTTTTTTAGCAAATTTCCTTGTAGGGAAGTAGCTATTACCCTTACTAAGCTGTGGGTGGCACAGTAAGACCTAGGCCCGACACCGATTTACTTTTTCATTTTGATGCCTCCAGATGCAAAAAACACTATTCGTTCAAATTTATAATCCAGTTCAGTTATGACAGTTCAGTCAGTGACAGTGATAAGACAGTGCTGGCCAGCCTTTACAGTTTTAACCAGTTTTATCACTTTTTATTCAATTTTAATAATTTGATCAACATGACTAGTTTTTACTATTGTGATTCTGACAGTGTTTTAAAGAATCTTTTGACATACCACAATGTATTAATACATTGATGATGTGGTTGCATACAATGACCTGACGATGTTCTAAGGAACAAAACTAGTTGTCATACCAGCAACTGTGGTTGGATAAGGTATTTTTTCTATTTTATCAATTATATTCCAACCAAGGGTCACAATGAATAACAAAATCATCAATTGATTGTGATAAATGAAAAACTAATAAAATTACCAAGGTTTAAAACAAGTGAATTATCAATAATCAACTGTAGTTAATTTATCATCCCACTCAAGCCAGTTTAATTCCAGGGAACGTGCCAGGGAAATTCGCTAAAACAAACCTAATACCATCATATAAAATAAATAAAAATGTTAGTGTAATACATCAAATTGAATTATTATGTCCGAAATAAAACGTTCACAGTTATTGAAGTTTTAAGATTAACAGTAATTCTTTTTAACACAATATAATTGTATCGTGTTTAGACTCATTTTTAATGTCTTAATTAGGAGATTTTAAAAAATCACAAAACCATAAACTTCCAGAACCAAATTAAAAAATTTGTAGAGCGTACTAGAGGGCTGAGTCAAGCCAGGTAAAAAGGCTGGACCCTGACACGTGAGAGTGTGCGGGTTGCCTAATCCTTCAGCATCCACCAGGCCACTGCCAAAGTATACACTCGAAGAGCATGTACTCAACAAATAATTTATAATATTTCATGCCATTATTGTCAATTAGTTCATACGGGCAAAAAACAAAATGTGGTATGAAACTTATTAATTTATGTTTAATTTATTTTAAGGTTAAACGGTTTCCCAATCACAACAACTGGCCTTGAGCTATTTTTAGGTGATGCACTGAACTTTATGCTTTAAGTTAATTTGCTTTTGTAATCCCATAAGTTAAGTCACATATCTCATTATTTTAAATCCAACGAAAGTAAACTATCCTTACTCTTTTTTTTTTAGAAAAATTTCTATTTGTAACTAACTTTTTCAAAGTAATAGGGAAACCAACCAAGATTTCTTAAAGGTAAGAAAATTTAAATGTTTGGTTAAATAATTCATAAATTCAGTAAATAGTAAATACTTCTTGTGTTGATTTTTATTCAAATCAAAATGAGTAAGAGATTGGATAATTTTTGTTATTTAGATATTTATACAGAGCTAAATCGATTCTCAGTGTTATTCCATGCCATTACTTGTTAGTAACTGTAGTGGAAAACTAAAACTGAAATGGTCCTTTTTATAGCTAAAAATGTGATCTTGCTTTACTTTATTAAAACAAAATAGCATAAAAGCCAAAATTATTTATCTTAAAATTAGGATTGTAACTGAACAAATTTACATCATGGGAATAACGATCATCAAAACTTGACTCGTGCAATTAAAAATCTGATTTTGACACCTGTGCAGTAATAAACTTGAGGAATATCTAAATATAAGTGATGTACCAGACCTTGAGTAACACGATTATACATTTGAACTTGTTATCATTAGAAGGTTGGGGTTAGTAAGAGTCAAGGTTGGTCATTGGCTAATAGTAGAGGCTTTGATACCGACCAAGCAAAAATAGTTGAACATTTGCTTCATGGCAGAAGAATTAACAAAACAATAAAAAAATTTTTGTAAAAAATATGAAAAAGTGAATTAATTATAGCACACCAAAGTTTCAATTTTTATGAGTGTTTTAGTTGATATTAATTTGTTTCCATAAGATGAACAGTAGTTTGAGTACAAAAGTATACAAGATGAATGGTACCTAAATGAAACAGTAAATTATCTCTATCACCTGAGATAAAAGTATGTTATCTTTGTAACACATTTTCACCATTTGTGAAATGGTTCTTCCATGTAAAACCTTCACATGTCATATGTTGTGTATAATAAATTTCTGGAACTCTATTTCTTCTATTTAAAAATTGAAAATATTTTCATATATCTTAATTTATAGGGCGATAACTTCACAATTTAACGATCTCTTACAACTAACAAAGCAATTTTTTTTATCTCTATAAGAATAACATGGGAATATTAGGCCTAAATGTACATTTGTTTGGATTTTACCCCGTAACCTTTAATACTACAACAACGCTGCAACACAAAATTATTTGTTTTTTTTTTAAGCTGTATATATTTAATATTTAATTTGGCATTTTAATGTTTTATGGGTAAAATTAGAGAAACATTTTTTTAAATGTGAAAACCCTTTAACATGACTCGATATTGCTAGTTCGTCAATTCATTCAAGTGTATCCAGCCCTACACATTAATGCAAAATATCATAAAAATTGGATCAAAATTACTCGAGTTATCTGTTTTATGGACACACACACAAAGAGACACAGACACACACATATTAATATAGATGTATAAACATATATAGAGAAATGTATAGAACACCATGGACACACACACAAAGAGACACAGACACACACATATTAATATAGATGTATAAACATATATAGAGAAATGTATAGAACACATATATATGTTTAGTCATATAAAAAATGTCAGTTACAATGAAAGAAGTGTTTGAACAAAGGGGAATTAAAAATTAAATTCCTGACTTTGCTACCAAACTGAATAATTGCTGGTTCAATAGATATTTGTTAATATAGTAGAAATCAAGTTTATTGATCTGTCTAAACAGTGAGTTACTACCTACTGGAAAAATAATAAATTCATTTGAGTTCAGAAAATATTATAATGATACAAAATTAAATTAACCCTTTACAAATCAAATCAAAACTATTCTCTTGATGAGATATTTAAGTCCAAATTGGAATAGACAGAGAGGAATGATGTGTAGAGATGTACTCACGACCTCGAAGAGAAGAAATTAATGAATGTTCGTTAATACCAAGTAATGGAGATTAACACTTCTTGAGAAAATAAAATATAACACTGTGTGCACACAAACTTCTGGTGAATGTTCCTCACGGTTAAATAAAACTTCTGTTGAAACAATAGAGTCAATAATTGATGATTTAATATGGGATACTGAGACCCATGGTAAAATAATTAGAGGGATTCAGAGACCCTCATAATGTTTGATTCACATGAAGACTGCATAGTAACTGAGTGAGTTGGAGAAGTGTACAGGAAAAACCACTGGTCAGTCTATATCATGTCGGCTGGAACTGATAAGCAGGATACGCAGCACATTCCTCTGCATTGTCTGCATTGTCTGTGCTGTTAGCGTCTATCTCTCTCTCTCTCTCTCTCTGTCTGGCTTAACTTAATACATTTTTATTTTATGAACTCACTTAAAATATTATTCTGAATTGAACCAAAAAGTGCAGTGATTTATTTACACACAAAACATTTAAATATCTATTATTTAAATGACAAAACAAGTATTATTTTATTTAAAATAAATTTAAGTTTAGACCTAATTTGAGAATGCTCAAACATACCGCCCACCGAAATTTCAAAGGAAATTTCTAGCATCTTACTTAAAAGGGTCAGAATTGATTGAAAGAAGAGGTACCAATTTCACAGCTGGACGTTGGAATTCAGAGTCACTGGTCTTGACAGTCATCACTCGAACAATTCCATCACTGCCTGGGTGAGTCTTGATGATTCTTCCAAGAGGCCACTGCAAGATAGGTACATTTTAATCCTTAAGAAGAACCAAGTCTCCGATTTTAGGGTTTGTAGAAGATCTTGTCCATTTTCCTCTCGCTTGCAGGATGTTCAAGTATTCCACTCGCCACCTCTTCCAAAAATGTTGAACCATCTTGTGGACTAGTTGCCATCTTGTAAGGACGTTTTCTCGAAGATCAAGAAGAGAAGGTTCGGGAGGAGCAACAAGAGGACATCCAACAAGAAAGTGTCCTGGAGAAAGAAAATTAGTTTCTTCTGGACTAGCTGACAAAGGACAGAGTGGTCTTGAATTCAGAACTGCTTCTACTTGGGTGAGCAAGGTTGACCACTCTTCATAAGTCAAAGCAGTTTCTCCAGCTATCTTCCTCAAATGTGTCTTTGTTGATTTAACTGCCGACTCCCACAGTCCACCAAAGTGTGGGGAATAGGGAGGATTGAAATTCCATTTTACTTCCAGTTTAGTAGTTTGCTGTAGAATTTCTTCTTGTGTAGTCTGATTGGAGTACCATAATCCTAACTCTCGAAGACGATTAGCTGCTCCTCTGAAGTTGGTTCCACAGTCGGAATACACTTGTTCAGGAAGACCTCTTCTAGAAATAAACCGTCTGAAAGCAGCCATAAAGGCATCTGTTGAGAGTGCGGTTACCAGCTCTAAATGCATAGCTTTAGTTGCCATGCAGACAAAAACACAGATGTAAGTCTTGGCAGTGGTTGCTTTTCTTCTTAACGACTCTCTCATAGTCAAAGGTCCAGCAAAGTCAACACCAACATGTAAAAATGCTCGGCTTACATTCACTCGTGGCGAAGGAAGATCAGCCATCATCGGGGAAAAGGTTTCAGCCTTTAGCTTGAAGCACCTTAGACATTTGAAGGTTCGCTGAC